GGAAGAGGCACAGATTTTACCGAAAATCTCACAGCCGACCAGAAATATCTTCACCTTGAAGGAAACCAGCAGAAAACGAGCTCAAGCAGTGAATACCTTATCGGCTTAGAAATGGTATAAGTTTACGCTACATTATTGAGCCAACAACTTTGGTGTAGTGGTATTGATTTATAAGCACACAATTTTTGTGGCTAAATATGTGATGAATGAGGTTGGCGTAAAGCATTTACTGTATAAAGAAGGTCAGAATTAGTAAACGCAGGAACGCTTAATCGGTATGGCATGTCTCATCCATGCATCGACTCCTTAAGTATTAATAGGCTAAAACCGGCTTATCTAGATCATGAACTACCAAACGTGTTGTTAGATAACTTACCTGACCAAACAATAACCGAGTCGACAGGCAAGAAAGAGAATTTTGCACAGGTGACTAGAAAGGTTAGATGGGCACAGCTAATTATTTAGTCAAAAATATTCACGGTTTTGGCTGTAGCCTACAGTGTCACCACGTATCTACTCTAATCTTGTGTTTACTCAAATGATCAAAACGTGGACGCTTTTGTGCCATCTTACTTATTTTATTTTATTTAAAAAGCATTACGAACATGTTTGTATTCTGAAACATTATGCACCCCACCCCTCCTTAGATCTTTTGCTCCTGATCTATGGACGTTATATTCATTTTTTAAATACTGAGTGCATAAGCTATTTATCCACAAACGACTTACCGAGTAATATAGGCCGTTTAGTGGCCCGTTTGATCTGACCTCTGTTTAGATCGTACGAATGTTTGCTATCACCTATTCTCGTATATTTCCGTCGACTTAATCGCGTTAGCCAATAACGGAATTAAATAAGTCGAATAACGAGAATTGATTTGTGAATACATATATTTTGTATATGAAGTGAATGAAACAGAGCCAAGCAAAATGACGCACGGGGAGGATGGCTGGGAAGCGAACTCCCATTTTAATTAAGCGTTACTCAATATTTATAGGCAGACAAAATAGACTACAGACATGTGATGAATCATGGGACATGAAGTGTATACACATATACGCTCATATAAAAAACAATCTAGATTGATAAGCGAATAAATAACAAGGTCAAAGTATGGCTCGAGTAGAATGAATAAAATGGGATGTCCGAAAGTTAGAATAAGGTATATGGGCTTAACATAGTAACTGACACTACAGCCGAAACATATGAGAAGGGATAAGTCATAAAGGAACGAAGAATCTTCGACTGTGGTGAGCGATGTGAGCAAGGTTCACATGACGAATTAACCATTTTCCTAGATTTTGTAAATAATAGCAGAAAATGAGAAAGATGAATGGAAACATCGAACAAATCCCAATGTACACGTACTATAAACCCACACAATGAACCTTCGCAATAATGACGAATTCCAAAAGCAATGCAGGCGAATTGACTTTTTTTCACTGGTTAATTCACTATGCATTTAGTACTTGTTAACTGGTCGTATATGTTTCATGTGAACCACTCTTAGGACCATTTTTGCTGTAAGATGTTTGGTAGCTCTATACGACCAATATTACTAATAATAGGTGGTTCTTAGATTAAGCATTTTTAGATCAAGAAGTGGTTAAGTACCTTCTAGTGGTTCTCATCGTCATTTTGGCATGCTTATAAATGATATGCACTAAGTTAACGAATATAGCTGCAGCACGATTTGCAATGCAAACATATAACTCAGTTTCATTGGCAACATTCAATTTTTTTCATTTTATTTTTTATTTCTGACACTTAGGAATCAACAATCGTGAGTGTGTTCTGAGCCGTCAAAACTCTTGGGTACATATAAACAGCACTACCTATCTTATTTTCCATAGCTAATCCTCAAGTCAAAACTGAAAGTAGCTATTCATAGATGGTTTCTCGTCTTTGCCATAAAGCATTGTTACGATATGACAATCACGTAGTATGGTCGATCCAGGCGATGGAACTAATAATTAAATCAGTTGACAACCTGACTGGATTATTTTGACAAATAGCGTTGTTTTTTCCTACAGTTATGTTTATGCAAACACCGACTAAAAGTTCATACCATAATTATAGCAATGAGTTGGGAGTTATACTCCCCTTGGCTGAAACCTATACTCTCCCTGATGATCACATGGTTTGCACTCACCTAATCGACTTACGAACACTTAGTTAACTGAAGATGTCGAAGAGCACACTGCCTGTAAAGTTACTACATTAGCTGTACTGATTTCACATACCTAATTTCAAACTCATTGTTATATAGCTTGTGTTTGACCGAGTGCACACAACTGACTAGTATTCACAATTCTTTCTATCTATCCATCTCTAAACCAATATGAATAGCCGATCTGTTAGATAATCAGAACATTTAGTTTGAGACATGGCCCTCACGGCTACTCCCATGTAAGGCCAATTATTGTCAGTTGTTCATACCAAATTCTGAAACATACTACCATTTTTCTTAAAAGGAAACCTCATTTCATGTAAATACTAGTTTGTATGGCTTTTCTAGTTGATTATTATTAGTATGAGCAGAAAACACTTAGACTGACAATGCTTTAGGCGGCTAACCATTGACTGACACGGTATTTTAGTGTGGCTTTTAGGACACTTTGGCTTACTGGTCCGCTCTTTTGTCCTATCCTTCCTCATTTCTGAGTAACTCAAAGTCCTCGACCATCATTCACCACCTTCTCGAATGACCAATAGATCATAACTGCCCGTAGTGGATGTGACTGCAGTATTTCCTAACACTGGTCGATTATCAACGGTACTCATGACCGATAGAACTTGAACACTTGCAAGGTACAAACCAACTGGTTACTTGGGCGACTTTAAAAGGTCTTACCATATCATGCATACCTACACTAAGCCCATAAACTGTTGGACCTGTGAGACTCCGACTATGTCACTGACCATGAAATGCTTATTCGGTTCTCATAGTCTTGGTAATTTTCCTTTTCCCCTTAGCCGTATATTATATTTCTCCGGGTTAAGGAGTACTACATTCACTCGCTGCTACGAATTCAGTTATAAAAGTTCATGTATCTGATCGAATTTATTGTTGAATCCAACTTCTGGCAAATTCACTCATCCATATATATATATATATATATATTTAAAAAGAAATGTTTTTAGAAAAGACCATAATTTATGAACGGACCAATCAGATATAAGATAAGGAGTAATGAACTTTGGTGCGAAATTCATCCTTATATTTGGCTAAATAGAGTTTTGGCATTATAGCTTATGTAGGTTTGTGATGAAAACCCTAAATCTAATTTTTATCCCTAACCATCAACTGTTACTGAGGATTCTAACAGCTTTACAACCCTCATTTAATCCTAATCAGTAGGTGTCCACTCTCATGGTCACTTCAGCGTCACTCAAAGGTCGTCCACAAATTATAGTCTCACCTTTTATTCTTTTAACACGCTTTCGTACTCAAGATGTCCACACCTTGTCTATTTACTTCCCGATTGCCAACCCGTTCTGAAAACCGAAGACTTATGTGGAACCAAACAATTATCAATCACATTTGTGTATCTCCCTTTCGCACCTTATTATTTTACACAATCGGTGGAGCAATTTTTCAGGTTTGACCGACTTTCATTAGTACTTATGAAGTGGATCCTTTTTATTTTTCACTTGAGGGCGACTCAAGAACCAAGTGAGTAAACACCTAATATCCGGACAGAGCATGGCAAAATCGTGCCTGACCAACATGCTGTTTGGTATCTCGCTTGCTGCACTTCCTCAGGTATTATTGTTTCACTTTTCTCCTCTTTTCTCTTGCAAGCTATGATCACCATATAGAAGGCGCGTAGCAAACTATCAGTGATAATTGTGGAAGAAATTGAATTTACAACTACAGTCTTAATTAAAAAAGCTGTAGACTCGTTTGAAAGACAAGCATCGGGTTCTGACGAACTGCTTTTACGCTCATAAGTACTGACTTATCTAACGAAAGAATACTTTAGAGTTGGGTCGTAACTGTTTTTTTACATACTGGTATAACATACTTAGTATGCGTATACTGCAAAAATAATTATCAGCCACAGAAGTCAAATTGCCTTATTCACTTCTTTCAAACAACCCCCAAAATTGTTTCAACTTGTGAGTCGTCACGATAACGTAATATTATTGAAGATTCGTCCCATACCATGCATCGTATTCGTTACTTGAAGAATGGACAGTATCGGACGTAGTGTGGGTGAACTGAATTAAAACCTAAAAATGCAAAACATCACGAGTTGTCGAGGTGACGCACCAGTCATCTTACGATAGTTTGACCTTCAAATGCTCAGGGACCTCCATCAATGGACGATACCCCTGAAGCGTTGCCGGATTTGTTTACCACCTAAACTCCATTTATATGACAATATTTTTAACCTTTCAATTCCGCCTTATCTCTACGTAATTCTTGTCTTCTTTAGAATCAACCCAATTCACCTCACCATTTGGACCTAAAGTTTACCAATCTTAATATTCTAGTACTCTAGCTTAACGCAATCAAATACATCTTGGTTAATTGACTCTACAGTTGATCACAGTAAATCACCCAATGCCCATTTAAAAAAATAGAGTGGCGAATAGCAGAAGACCACTGTCAACAAATGTCTCCTATCATATTGACAAAGGACCCAAGTACCAATGAATACGCCGATTCCGTCAATTAAGTTCCAAAAGTCTGAAAAAACATCGCTAAATAATTTTGAAGTCAGACTATCTAAAAAACTGTTAACTGAAAACAACCAAAGTTTTCGGAACTGTTCTTTTATATAAAGAAGGGAGTGACATGAATTCAGGAAAACATTATATACTGGACAGTCATTGTTACGTCGATCAAGCGACCTTCGCACGATATCAAATTAGAAAGATGCTAATCTTGCTCGCATTCTCTTTACTCCCCATCGTCTATTGTGACTTTAAATTAAGTGATTCCAAGCTCCTTCTGCCTTACTACAGTGTTAATCCCGTGAATTACACTCTACATGGTAGCGAGGGGGCTTGCTATGAATGGTAAGATGGTTAGTTTTTTAACACTGTAGGCATTCGGGCACACCGGAGGTAGCAGTAGTAAGCCCAATAGTATCATCTGAGAATGGCTGCTCTTCTGCTGCTGTTATAACTGCGGTCTGGCAATCGCGGCACAGGGCTGTGGCCACCATATATGCCAAAATATTTAGTAAATATGTGTACTTTTCAAAACATTTCTAGATGCTGATCACATTGTTAAATGTGATGTAATCGTTGACGACATACATCGGATCGAAATCGCCACTACCACACAAGAGCTTTATCTGCATAATACACCAGTTTCTCTTGTAGTAACTGCTTATGATGAATATGGCAATACCTTCACGTCACTTGAAGGTGTACCATTTGAGTGGCGTATATTTGAAGACAAATATGAGGAGTTCGGAGACATTCAAGGTGTATTAAGATTTATCACATGGAGGGAGTCGGAATATACAACTCCAAGTACAATGGCTTTACTTGAGTCGAAAGGAATGCAGGTTAGCTAATAACGATATATCTTATTCCTGTAGGGCTACATGCAACTAATAAGTGGTTTGCGTACTGGCTCTGCGGTCGTTAGTGTGGCTCTTCATGAGTCGATTTACCAAAGTGTAGTACCCAGTCAGGTTCGTCTTCTCGTTATGGCTAATGCCCAATTGAGCCCAGCACTAGCCTATCTTGTCCCAAATTCCTTGCTGACTTTCACCGTACACGTTATTCAACAAGGTGATGACCAAGGTAAGTATTGTATTGTTACATATCTCTTCTTTACTGTACTGATCAGGAGTAATTATGGTAACATTACATTTCAGCAATTAGTTTCCACGCGTAATCCTGTTATTTTGTCTTTGTGCTTTTACTAATCAGCCGAGTCGCCGGGCTAAGTTTTATTGCTTCAGTCTTTAGCTGCAAGTTGCAATGTGGCCTTTGTAAGTTCATGATCGCTAGCTCTTACATTGCCATCATCTCACCATGTAAAGCAATATAATTCTTTCATTTAGTCTTGCTTTATTGGATGTATTGTCTACGCTCTGGTTTCGTTTTCGTCTGGATTGTTTCAGATTTTTTGACGGAAATGGCACATTTGAGTGTTGAAAATGTCATTTGCTGATTATCAATTAGCTGTCTCTGCTGATACCCTACTTGAGCGTACTTGTACATGAACATTTGAACCGTGGACGTTTTATATCACCTTGTTGTTTGGAGACTATGCGGTTGTAAATAAATACTATGTTTATAACAATCTACTCAATGCTCAATTTATTCGACATTATCTAGTCAAACCTTGGTAATGATACCTTTATGCGATGTTATTCCAAAATAATGTGTAAATACTGACACAATGCGATCCCAAGGTTTGTAGACCTTTAATTTACGGGACTCACACATTTACCACAAAATATGTGGATAGATTCTGTCGTCCACCTACACATCTCTTCTGTGAGTGTTCGTGTTTTTCTGGTCAAATACTGCCCTAAAATTGATCAAAATTTAAAAGAACCATAATTAATAATCTTGAGAAATATCACAGTTTCATCTTTAAGCAATTGTTGAATAAGTTTAAGTGATACCCCAAAATATAGTAAATTTCGAACAATCTGTTCATATATGAGATGTTTTGTATGAGAACTTTCATCATTTATTTAGTTAAATGAGTATAAATTTATATCCCACTCATTTTTCAGAGGTCGCCATGCCATCTTTACAATACCACTTGCAGGTGAATGACACGAACTTGGCTGTTCTTAACCCACTTGATGGTTCAACTCTTAAAGCTTTAAATTATGGTCAAACTGAAGTTACACTTCTTGATCGAAGTAAGTTAAATGTTTCAACATTACTCATTTATTCCATGCGTAATATAGTCTACGTGTCATTGTAATTGAATTAGACTATGCCAATATGTGAACTAGCACCTCTCAATCTATTTTACTTTTAAATCAACTTTTATTTACTATTAGATGTCGAAGAAGCCCTAGAAAAATTGGACGAGGTTTTAAATTCTAAAGTCGATGATTCAGATCTTCGTCTGCCAAAACGAAGACGTCCAACTTCACTCATACAGATTGTAGAGCCAGCCTATCTGGGTTTTACACTCATTCAAAAATCTACCAATAAAAACCCAGATATCTGCCAACTGGCTTCATTTTTAAACTCAGGGTCATATGGTAATCAGGTTGCATCCGGTTCTTATATGCCCATTCGAAGATGGATTATGGAGTCAGGGAAAGTTTATGTCATCAATCTAGATATATATGATCGTAATAACCACCGTTTATATCCCTCAGACAATCTGCGACTGTCTCTTTATTTTCCAGAAAGCCACTTTGAGGTAAGACTATATGTTTATTCTGACAGTTTTTCTAAGTGTTCCGCTTGTTGATGTACTGGACTAAACTAATCGACTGGTTTAATATGATGTATAGGTTTTTGTTGAGCTGTTTTGGTACTTGTGTTAATAGCATGGCAGTTTTGAATATGGCTATGATGTATATAAGTCTATGCGGAGTCTCACAATGAACAGTATGACATACATGTACATGATAAGATAAGACGCGACTTAATTCTAATGTTACTTACCTGTGAAATATTAATAATACGTATTACTATTTACATACTATTCTCAGTGTAGATCCCTGGTGAGACAATATACAACAGTAAGCAGTGCAAGAAGGTCTTGGTCTAATTTCTAACCGAATAATCATAAGTCTGGTATTGATGCCTTGTACATTGTATGTTGTGATTGTTGACAGGTTCTGCGAATGCGCCACTTTGTTAATTTCTATAATATCCTACTCCAACTTTGTGACTTATGTTTCAGATCTTAAAATCTTCGTTAAATCAAACTTATGTCGTTGTTCGAGCATTTTCATCTGGTTCGGTGTCTCTCAAGGCTGTCTTGAGAGGCGTCGTAGATCAGGTACGTTCAATTGATTTGCATTAATTGAGGCGCGATATTTTGTATCCATCCAGTTTATAAAATTCACTTCCGTAAATGATTTTTTACAGCGGTCATTGTTCATTCACAAGATAATAATACATCTGTTACTGATGTTCGGTTCTACTAAAGATATCAATTTGTTGATGCTTTTCACTTCACAATTTTTGGTCTTCAGTTTGTGAATTATATTGTTTTCATAGCAGATTTCTTCCCAATAGTGGAAAGATGTCATCTCCAAAGATGCCGATAATTTAAACGAAACATTTTACGACCATTAAATCTCAAAACGATCAATATGAACTTGGTTTTGTAATCTAAAACTTACTTTTTTTGTCTTTGTCGTATCTGTAGGACTTCAGGGAGAAAAAGTCCCATCTAGTGTAATCCGTTTAAGTTGCCACTAAAGCCCAGTTCGACCACGCCAAAGAGCTAATCACTGTCTGAAGTGACGTTAGGAGTAATCTTACCATTCAGCCTCTTAATATTGATTCGTATACTAGATTTTGACGTTTCACTATTATGTGGGAACTAATATTACTACCTGAGTGTATAAACCTCAGTGAGTGGAGCAGAATTGAGTTCGAACTGATGACCAACTCTTATTCATGGAGAACCACCTTCGTCTTACCAATTTTCTCCATAAAAGACCCCACAACTACTGCAAATATAATCTATTTAGTATACCAAGTGTTTTCACAGGAAACAACACTGTTCTAATAACTGTATCCATCTCAAAAAATTTTTCCTAGTATAAATTCATCTACTTTTCGTAAATAAGTGCACATAAATAAATTAAAGTGATTTCGGTTTACCATACGCAAACATATTCATTTGTTATATGGTTGGTTAAGATGCATTAAAAATTATAAATAAACTGAGATATTTTCAAGGATTTATGGCTCTCAGTCAGTCAGTCAGCTACAACGTAGGACCAGGCACATATATGCATCGGTCCAAGTTACCATACCTCATTAACACAACAAAATGGACACCAGATTCATAAAACTAGTTAGTTCAAAGGTGGTAATACATAAAAGAAGATTTCAATAAGGATATAGTACACGAACAAAAAGAATTAGTTCGTAGAAAGAAAGATATGAGGCGATTTTAATCTCTTAGTTTAAGGGAAGACAGAGAGTGTACTCACCGACTCCATTGTGATCGATTCTGAGCCATGTCACCAAGAGTCTCCAACCATTGGTTACGATAGTCACGTGGACCCCAACCAAGTAGTCTGCATCTCCCAACATGGCTCAGACTAGAAGTTAGTGACTTCAAGCACTGATGCCACGTTTTGGTTTGGCCACCCCTAACTTTCTTCCAACCATCCCGAACACCGGTTAGCATTGCACGTCGTAGTAATCGGTGTTCGGGCATACGTAACACAGCCCAACCATCTCAGTCGATGAAGATTCACAACCTCATCAACTGATTTACCATCATTCCCTAATACCCTGCGTCCGACCTCACTACTACTTACCTGGTGATCCCAGCAGACGCCAGCAATATTTCTAAGGCATCTGTGTTTATTTATCCTAGCATAACGGTTAAATAAATATTTCTGCTACCTGCTTCAAAAGTAATATTTTCCCGGATTTGAAATGAATCACTTCTAACAAGGATTTAATTTACAAATAGTAGGTGTGAATGTACTTTCATAGTTTTCACCTATTAATTTTACCATTGTCTCTGTTCCCACCACGATTACAAATAATTCTTTTTCACAAACTGTTTATGCTAGTGTGGAAAAAATATAGTTAAACCTACTTACATGTTGCAATGTCTTTGAATAATTTTCTAACCATCATTATAGAAACGCAAAACTTAACAGCTAATATGATCGTAGTTATCTTGGCAACCACTGATTAACATTTTGAGAACCGCAATTCATACATAATTCCGGTTCTTAAATCGATTTACTTTTAAGACGAATGAAGCATTCGATAAAAGTTATTACTCTTTTCCTTACTGTGAAATAGACAGTCGTGTAACAGAATTCTTTTATTAGATATATGAGTAAGTGCCCTGTTCTGTTTGCTTATTTTTTTATAAGGACGGAAATGTTGTGGAATTCAATTCAACCATAACCGGCAATCAAGATGTGACCATTTACTCTCCTATCAAAATCTATCCAACACCAGTCATTTTACCGTGGTCTACAGAACTACTATCGTCTAACCTCACAAATTCTATTCCTGGTTACCATCTACGAGCTAACGGAGGTTGTGGACAATATAGATGGAGAGCTTTATCCCTCCGCGCGTTAGAACATCATTCTGATCCAGGCAAATTACCGAACCCTGAATTACTCACTAACACAGTTGTGTCCATTACTAAAACAGGGGATATATCAGCTCTAGTAAGCTTATTTTTATACGTTACATGATTTGCATGTTGCAACTTGTATCATGTTTGTATTACATTCTTGTAAAGATTATTATATAGAAATCAATTTGTTATTGTGTGGCTAGTTAGCAAATTCAATCTTCTCGCCCAATAATTTGCAGTACTTTATATTTTTATTTGAAAGGTTACTTTTTTATTGTTATCGTTTATAATCAGTGCGAAACACTGTAGCTTTGCATTTGCTACAATTGTGTAAATGACACTCACTAAACCGGTCATATAGCTTAGTGAATAAATAGGTGTATTCGATTCTTATTCACTATGTTGTAAGCTTCAGTTTTACTTCACATACTTTCTCTAAAACAGCAAAAATATTGTTGTTTGCTTACGATAGACACTACACAGGACGTCGTTCGATTAAAAAATTGTTGGTTGAATACGAATTCTGTAAATTCAGTGTGTTTAGAAACTATAACTTCTACGCATAATTAGTGGTTAATGCATGATGAAAATTGTTAAGTAATGTTTTTGAGTCTCATAATAATACTTTTTGTTTAAACCACATTTTAGAATCCCGGCGAATCTATCATAGTTGCATCTAGCTCTTCGAATCCTCAACTTTGTGGACATACTGTGGTTTATGTGCGTCCACCTTCTGAAATGAAATTTGTATATGAACGCAATGAAGTTCTAATCCCACCTCGTCGTAATGCTAAGTTTATTGACGAAGAATTAACGAGGAGTTATCCGAATCAACCAACAAATGAGGAATGGAGTATACAAGATCCCTCTGCCGTAGAATTCGACTTGGAACATTTAGCGATAGGATTAGCTGTTCTTGATTCTGATGGTCAAAGTATGACGGATTGCAGAAATTTAAACATTGAAATTCATGCAGTCGACTCTAATGTTGTGAAGATCATTCCAGGTAGGTTAGTTCAATGGTGAAATTCGCTTCTACCAGACCAAGACAAATATTAGTTTTTCAAAATTCACTGAAAATAATTTTTTTGAATTGAAATGGTTTTACATACATCACAGTCTTTAACTCAATGATTTGCCTTTAATAGCGTCATTCAACGATTTGTCATATAGGGAGTATTAAGATTTCTTTTTTTCTTCTTGGTGTTTTGAGAACCGTTATTAATCCAGTTGTGCTAACCTTAATATTCATGAAAAAAAGATAATTCATCAATTATATATCCGTGTACACAGTTTCAAGTCATTTTTTTCGTGTGAAGGTTGATGATACTGCTCAATCATCCAAACCTTAATAAATGGGACAAGGTCCAAAGTATAGTTTAATAGTTGCGAATCAAGTGACTTGTCCAATCTCTGAGCCCCTGAATGCCCTGGTACGGCCGAGAGTGGGGAGAGTCCGCTCTCCCTCTCGAAATACTCTCACACGGCCACGCGTATACAGCCTCTGCCAGGGAAGTCCTACTCATTGCCTTCTCGTGGCGGGGGTGTTGTTTACGAAAATGAGAGGACGAAAAGCGAATGTCCGGCGCTTTAACCGGATTCCAAACCAATGGTGCACATGGGCTCCAGTATCCTGCGGGAACGAATGGCGTATGAACCAATCGTTGGTCACCGGCTACCATGGGACTGCATCTCCTTACGATGCTCCACTGCCTTGTGGGTTAGACCTTTAGGTCAAAGGCTCGGGGAGTGGCCCCCTAAGATAACCACCTGCTTCGGTTTGGGCACCCGGGCAGTATCACAGCCCACACACAAATGATGAACTCTTTATGTCTATGGAAATTACTTTTGTCGCTTTGAAAAACAATCAATTGATTCAAATTATTATCATTACAATTATTGTCATTATTAATACTAATATTATTATTACTACTATTATTGTCATTATTGTTATTATTATCATTATTATTATTATTTTCCACATTATTCACCCTCTTTTATACTTATACAGCGGCTCGTCTTTGGTGGAATTCCGACTGTATCTAAACGTTCTCGAGTCACTGTCCGGTTGAAAATTGTATGTTACCACCGAATACGAGGACTGAAGCAGATTTTCTGAAACCACGTGCACCATTCAAACTGGCTGCCTTCAACGTTCGCACATTTATGCAGGTCGGACAACAGATAGGGCTGGCTATGTCTTTGGAAAGTCTTAATATCGACGTGTGTTGTCTATCCGAGACCCGTATTCAAGACTCTGGCGAAGTACTACAAATTCGATCTCCATCTGTCGCTTCGAAAAGCTTGTTTTACGTGCGCTTATCCGGGGACCCTGTGGCATCTTCGTCTGGTCTTGCTGGCGTTGGTGTCGCACTAAGCGCTAGAGCTGAGGCAGCACTAGTCGATTGGATCCCCATTAACAGTCGGTTATGTGCTGTTAGATTAGAAAGTTCCATCAAAGTGAGAAGAAATCGGCGTGAGAAACGATGTCTTTTCGTCATCTCCGCCTATGCCCCGACAGATTGCAGCCCGGATGCAATCAAGGATGAGTTTTACCACCAGTTATCAGTTCTTCTCCAGAAAGTGCGTTCGACAGATATTGTAGTACTAGCCGGAGACTTGAATGCTCAGGTCGGGCGTCTAGGCACAGAAGAGAGTCGTTTAGGTGGCCGATGGGGACTCGTTGGTCGCAGGTCAGATAACGGGGACCGTCTACTGCAACTTTGCACAGACCACAACCTGTTTCTGGCTAGCACTAACTTTCGGCACAGTCATCGCCGATGTGCCACCTGGCGTCCTCCCTCTGCATCTCAAGCCTGGACTCAGATTGATCACATCGCGATCAGCTACCGCTGGCGTGGTTGTGTACAAGACTGCCGCTCCTTTTGGAGTACCTATCTGGACTCTGACCATGCCTTGGTCTGCGCCAATCTTGCCTTACTTTTCAGTGGACAACGAAGTGAACGCCATCAACGGATTGATGTTAGCAAGCTGGTTGCAACTTCTGTTGCAAGTAAGTATCGAACCGAGCTAGCCTCTAGGCTAGCTACCACTCCACCGAAAAGTATAGATGAGCATTGGTTGCAATTGCATGACGCCATGAAAATGGCGGGAACAGTCAGTTGTGGGTTTGCGAAACGTCCCGCTTTTAAGCACTGGGTTTCTTCTGGTTCCTTACAACTCATTGAAGCCCGTCGGTCTACTCCGGGTGACCGTGAGTTTGACCATAAACGAAGGATGTTACGTAAGGAAATTGGGCAAAGCTTGCGTAAGGACCGAGAAGCCTGGTGGTCGATGCGTGCTAATGAGCTGGAAGCAGCAGCTGCATCTGGTAACTACCGGAAGCTCTTCCAACTCATCCGAGCCACTGGCAGCAAGAAGTCTGGTGTGAGTGAAACAATCTGCGAGGATGATGGGATGCCAATCACTAACATCCATCGACGTCTTGGACGATGGGCAGAATTTTTCGAAGGGCAGTTCAACTGGCCTGCTGCTCCGGCAACATCGGTCAGACTGTCCTGCCCTCCATGGCCGGTGACGACTGATCCACCAAACGAGGAGGAAGTCCGCAAGGAACTCCAACTCTTGAAGCGTTACAAATCACCTGGCCCAGATGACTTACCTCCGGCTCTTTTTAAAGATGGTGGTGACTTTTTGACTAAGGAATTGACGACGTTGTTTACAAAGGTTTGGGAACTAGAGAGTGTACCAACGTCATGGAATGAGTCGATAGTTGTCCCTATCTTTAAAAAGGGTTCACGTCGTTCTTGTAACAACTATCGGGGGATAAGTTTACTTCCGATTGCGTCCAAGCTATTGGCTTCCGTCATTCTTCGTAGGTTGTTCAAAACCCGAGAAAGATTGACTCGCGAGGAGCAGGCTGGGTTTCGTTCTGGTCGAGGATGTATTGATCATATCTTCACCCTCCGCCAAATGTTAGAACACCGCCATACTTTTCAAAGGCCAACAATCGTAGTGTTTCTTGACATCAGGGCTGCCTTCGATTCGTTGGATAGGACTGTTCTCTGGGATTGTCTATTGAAGAAGGGTGTGCCTGAGAAGTTTATTAACATCCTAAAAGCCCTGTATAAAAACACCTCAGGCAGAGTGAGGGCATACAACCACCTCTCTCCATTGTTCCATTCGAGCAGTGGGGTTAGGCAGGGTTGCCCAATCTCACCATTCCTCTTCAACTTTGCCATCGATGACATTCTGGAAACAGCTCTGATGAATGTAAGTAATGGTGGTGTGGATCTGTTGCCTGGAGAAAGACTTCTCGACCTTGAGTATGCGGACGATATTGTCTTACTGTGCGATAATGCCCAAGGCATGCAATCCGCACTTAATCAGTTGGCAATCAGTGTCCGTAGGTATGGTATGTGCTTTGCACCTTCGAAGTGCAAAGTACTTCTACAAGACTGGCAGGATTCTAATCCTGTACTCACCCTGGATGGTGAGCAGATAGACGTAGTTGAGAAGTTCGTGTATCTGGGTAGCTGCATAAGTGCTGGTGGGGGTGTGAGTGATGAGATCAATGCACGAATAGTGAAAGCCAGAGCGGCTTATGCCAATCTGGGCCACCTTTGGCGCCTTCGTGATGTTAGTCTGGCTGTAAAAGGTCGGATCTACAACGCGTCGGTGAGAGCAGTTTTGCTCTATGCTTGTGAAACCTGGCCTCTCCGAGTTGAGGACGTTAGACGACTCTCTGTGTTCGATCATCGCTGTCTCCGAAGGATTGCTGACATTCAGTGGCAACACCATGTCAGTAATGCAGAGGTTCGGCATCGTGTGTTCGGGCACAGAGATGATAACTCAATTGGTGTCACCATCTTGAAACACCGACTTCGGTGGCTTGGACATGTTCTCCGAATGTCGTCCCAGAGAATTCCACGTCGTGCATTATTTGCCGACTCTGGGACTGGTTGGAAGAAGCGGAGAGGTGGTCAGTGCATGACATGGTGTCGTGGCATGAAAGAAAGCTGCAAAGGACTGGCTTGTGTTGGTCCTTCACGACTCCCTGGTTGGGGTCCGAGAGATGGTGCTACACAGTGGCTAGAGACGTTATCAGATATGGCTCAGAATAGAAGCCAGTGGCGATCCTGCTGTAACCTTCTTTTACTTTCTTCATAAAAAGTGGTTGTGTCTCCTTTACCTGAAAGATTTCTTCTGATTGTACCTTATCGTCATTACTCTCTTTTTCTTTTGCGTTCCTTAGTTTTTTTTTTTTCTTCTTCTCTTCGAATTCCCATTGTTTTGTGTGGCGCATATATATTGGCGCTCTCTTGTACCAATATTTATGTGTTCAAATAAATAAATAAATAAAATCAGTCAACAAACCATGAATAAACGTAGAAAATCATAAAATACCCATCATAATTTCTTTGCTTTCTTGGATCGATAATTATATGCTTGCTGGGAATGGCTATTTTTGAAGTATATTACTAAGTATATCTTTGCTAAATCCCTCCGAAATATCTCGAGTTATAATATTCTATAATTTTATCTTATCTGTAACTGAGTAAACTGGTATAAAAAAAACATGACCACTAGCCATAAGAATAGGTTTTTAATGAAATAACTGATTGGGTGTCATAAAGGGTTTTAAGTTATCAGTTGTGTAAGCCACTTTTCAACGAATGAAACACTTGACTGTTAGGCATAATTCAAGAGCTTAATAGATTAGTTCGTAAGTTTATACTAGGAAACTTTTATGCAGTAAGCAGAAGTGAAACTGACAGAATAAAAAAGTATTAGAATGGATAATTAACATAAATCATCAGTTTTAAATAGAATGAAAGGACAGAAGAACACAAACAAAGTAGATATTGGCAGAAATGTATACTAGTCCAAATTAACACCTCATATCCTCAACACACTAAAATGTAAACGATTGAAAGTAACAATAATACAGTAGTAGAGAAAAACTGACAATATGAAGCGTAAGTGCAAAAAAGCTAATAAAGTCTGGAATTATTTTTGACACAAAAAGGGATCGTCTTGTATTATATATTTATCTGGGGTGGTAGTATTTAACGTATGTTATGGCCTCTACTATTAGTTTTTTTCTTTGTGAAAAATTGCTTTATCAATCCTTCTGTTTCAGTTGAGATATAAGTATGTTTCTCTGTTTTTTATAATTTATGCCTCATAAATTTATTTTGTGTAGTAATCTCTTTTACTGGATTAAAATTGTACAGGTTTTCATGCCCCACGACTTAATTCATCTGCTGAATATGGATTATTTGATTCTAACGAATGCTTACATTTTTATGTGATCGGAGTTAACGTTGGTTTCACTGAAATTAAAGCAATTTACAATCCATCACCAGTTAACAAATTTGATGAATCCGTTGTAATTGTTTCACGTGTTCATGTTGCCGCATATCGTAAAATCAATTTTATTGATCCTGTTTCTGAAATAACTCCTGTTGCAATAGGTTCAACTCGAAATATACTAGTAAGTACAGAAAATTAGTATTCAATTCAATAAATATATTCAGCTAGTCACAAATTGCTTGATTAGTAGTGTTAGTTCAATAAGAAGCGATTTATTTGACTTTCAACCAGTTGTTGATTAGACATTTAAACTCTAATCTATTTCTATAAATAAAAATATATTTGTAATATCCCAATGCGTAGAAAATTGGATTTTCTGACGTTTCGTGACTTAGTGTAAGTCACTTCTTCAGAGAATAAATAACCAAATTAAAATTAATCCAAGTTTAAATAGTACAACGGAACAATGCAAGAATAATATTTGATCAATCAAAAAACAGGTCTGAACAAGTTGATGTCATGTCATTTCTGTCAAGGTGATTCATAAGTGATCTGTATGTAAATTTGTGTGTATGTATATGTGCATTGTTTAAGAATGAAAACTTGTGTGACCTTTATGGTAAGAAAGGATAGAGTTTAAATTTGTAATATGATAGTGTGAAATTGTAAATACGATCAGACTGAATGGCTAGGATAGATGGTCCAAGTAGGATGTATGGTAAGGCCTTCTTTTCTATTGAGAGAAGTAGGATTAAGCATTATATGGAACGCCTCAGCTACCCTCCTTTCTTTGTAGTTGGAAAAGCCTTTTTGCAATATTTTGATATTTTTAAAATCGATTTGGTGGTTGTTGAAAATGGCATGAACTACTATTACCGATTTAATTTGAAGTTGGTTCAATTCTACAGGATTGTTAGGAGGTTTCTTTGTGTACCTAATATGTTCTTTGGCTCTAGTCACGATTTCGCGGGATGACTCTCCAATATAATAGGCATCACAATCAATACAACCTAATTTGTAGACGCAGTTCTGTGTGGACATGAAAGGGATTTTGTCTTTCAGGCGAACTAAAGTATTACGTAGTGTGTCCGTTGTTTTGTAATACACTTTGATTCTGTGATGTTTTAAGATTCTTTGGATTTCTTCTGTTGTGCCATGACGGTATGGTAGAACTACAGTACCAATCCATGGCATTTCATTCGGATCATTATTATAATGTAATAAACTGTTTTGTTTTAATATGCTTCTAATAATCTTCATAGGAAAATTATTAAATTGCTAACTATATTCATTTGTTCTTTTTGTTTGTCTTCCTCTGATGTGATGATCTTGTTAGCTCTTCCAAAAAGATTTAAGGCTAGCGAGATCTTAGCACTGAACGGATGTGCTGAATGGAAGTCAGTATAACGATTTGAATGTGTCGGTTTTTGGTAAATGGATAGGTTTAGACTTCCATTTGGATTTCTTTTTACTAAGCAATCCAAGAATGGTAGCTCACCATGTACATTTTCATTTTCATTCGTGAATTTGATGTGCGATGAAAGTGTATTTATTCGTTTTGAAAAAGATCTTAGATGAGTCTTTTTTATAACAACAAATGTATCCTCTACATATCTAAGCCAAATTCGTGGTATAATGTTGTGGGCGAAGATATCTGATTCTATGTATACCATAAAAAGGTTGGCTACAATCGGGGACACGGGGGATCCCATCGCTACACCGTTAGTTTGTTTGAATAACATACCGTTAAAAGTAAATAGCGTTGAATTTAAGCAAAGTTTTAAGGATTTCATGATTAGACTGATACTCAACGGACATCTGTCAGGAAGAGTATTGTCGTTCTCAAGTAAACCACTTCTTATAGTCTTGGCTTCATAAATTCGCTTTTTTGAAAATTATGATAAGAAGGTAAATGTTGAAGAAAAGTGTTTTTGAAGCAACAAATTATTTGAAAAGAAAAACAAATGCTATTATGTTAATGTAAATTTAACCGAATATATCTTTATTTAGTGAAGATGTTTCTAATTAGTTCACTTCTATATATGTTAAGTAATTTCGATATTTTCTGAAGAGTAGATTTGTATAAAATAGTTGATGAAATTCTATTCCGTATAGTATTTATTTATTTGAACACATAAATATTGGTACGAAGGGGCACCGAATGCATATGCTCCACACAAGTTACTTGATTTGTGTGTGAGCTATGATACTGTCCGGGTACCCAGACCGGAACACGGGGTTCCTTAGGAGGTTACACTCGGTGCCTTCGACTTAAAGTTCTGACCCACAAGACAGTGGAGCGACGTCAGAAGATTCAGTCCCATGGTGGCCGGTGATCAACGATTGGTTCATACACTATTTATTCCTTCAGGATCCTAAAGCCCACGTACACCATTGGTTTGAAATCAGGGTTTTCCAACTCCCCTAGGTAGGCCCTGTGTCCATTGACCCGGTTAAAACGTTCTCTCAATTTCGTAAACAACACTCCTCCGTGAGAATCCAGTGGGAAGGACTTCCCTGGCAGTGGCTGTATACGCGTTGCCATGTGAGAGTATTGGGAGAGAGAGAGCGAACTCTCACCACCCTCGGTCGTACCAGGGCATTTGGGGCATTCCGTATAATAATAAATATATAGAATGTTAAATATTACATGATAACGATTATAAATCTAATATTTTATCCTTTTTATATAAAATACATAAATTATTTTGTAAAATTAACGAAAAACTTCCATAAAACTAGATAATTCATGTAAGATGACCCGAATAGAACGTTTTCGAGAATTTCTAGTAGAAACAAATGCTTTAGTTGAGTACTTTTCAAAATTTCTGGTTAACTTCACTAAATAATTTCAAAGTGGATGTTTTCTTTAGAGTTCACTTTTATCTGCCACATCGTTATTAATGTGTCAAAGGTTGAACAGACTAGATTCACTGATGGCGACTAATCTTGTGAAGAATTAGCGAAGTTCTATTTGAAAATTGTATGACCGGGGAATTTTCTTATCCACGTCTTTGAAATCAGAGCGAAGTGATTCTCCTCACTTGGAATTGTACAATTTACACAATCTTTGTCTACTGTATAGGTAAAACATACCAACGCCACGACACATGATCAGATTTTCATTATCCTATATTTCCTGCATTCTGTAATGATCGAACACAAGAAAGGCCATTGATGTATGGTGTAGTGATTTGTTGACGTTTAACTTATTTACATCATATTTTTGATGTAATTATTTCATTATTCTATAATGATAATGTTATTAAACCTAGGTTACACATGGGCCGCAACCATGGCCTTTACAGCCATCAGAACATTACGTCAACGTTTTTCCCCAACCCGACGCAGATAATGATATTTCATCACTTCCAACATTGATTAGTGAACCGCATTTCTCTAAAACAGTTTATCAAAAGACTAACTTTGACAGTGAAGCTAAACCAATTCAAAGTTATATGGATCAAGTTGAAGGTCATGTTCGCTTGGTTTCATTTAGCCTTCGTTGTGAAAGTATTGGGTTGTTTGAGTTTGTGATTGAAATTGGAAATCGTCCCACCCCTCTAATCTGCATCCCATGGTTCTGTCATCCAAGTTCACGTAAGCTTTTTTTCAATGTACAAGATAATTGACCGATCTACGTTTCTTATAACATTGATAATGCAGCCGAGCTTTGGTCTGTTGGTTTATTCACTCGATTTAAAATCAGGAAACCATAAGTTCATATGTTACTTCATCTCCAGAGGATCGAGTGATTAGTTAGTTCGATTTGCCTTTCTCATAGCCTGTCATACATATATGGATTATTAAATCATGTTCTTATAGTAGATTAGACATTAATTTAAGTGAAAATCTTTCTAGTCAACACACATCTGCTCACTGAGGTAAGGTTAAGCATTTGTGAAATAATGGAGAACAAAAAACAATTCACTGTGGTAAAAGTTTACCTTCACAAATTTACATACTTGCTTTGCTCGATGAAATCTTCCTCACATATTTTTTTTATAAACACCTACCCTATTTATCAATAATAAGTAGCATATTTTAATTAGTTAAATTTGTCAGAATTTATTCGAAAAAAATTTCCAGAGGATATTTGTTTTTCAATGTGTATACAGATTAGACTTATTACTAACAATCATAATTTGTTGTATTATTTACTTCTTGAATATGATGAAACAGGCATATCACAGTTACCGGCTGATCTACCAATTTAATACATTATGTGTTATGGATAAAAATGTATTCAAAATAGAGATAGGGTGTAATGAATATATGAAGTGTTTGGTACAGTAGTGGAGTAAAGTGTATGGTTGGAATAAATGTAATCTAACCGTATTGTTCATTTGTTAACAAATGTACAATTAGAAGCCTTATCTTTGGGGATAAAATTCTGTGACATAAATGAGAAAATTAATAAAATCCTCAACCGAATTGTCTCTATGAATAAATGAAGTGAACTCATTGCGTGGAGTGATAATTGTGATGTATTCTTGGGATACGGATTTAGTATAAGTAAAATGTGTAAATGTCTTTGGCCAACGTGGGTAAACAGTGCGAGCATATTATGCATGCGAGAAGAAGGAAGTCTCTGTTGACGATGCTGCCACCATTGAATTGTTATTTCCAGTCTGTAAAGAAAGTGAGCAGACCCAAACAGTCAACCACTTTCTGATGGGCAGCCGATCACCGCTACCAATCGCCGCCACCTCTCCGAAAAATTTAAATATACCGCACACCACCAACTGAAATCACACATGTGCTCAAGAATGAAAACTCAACTACAATCACCCTAGCACACTCTAGCGCTTTCACAAATAGAAAACTGAACAACGAAAATATTCACAATCTTCACCGTTATAAGATCAGTCAGTGCAAAGTGAATCTACAGTACTCTGTACTTAACAAATATCTTGATATGACTAATGACTTATTATACGAGGGAGAAAATAAATGTTGATATTCAACTAGCGATACCTTTATGTAATATCTTGCAATAGCCTATGATAATTCCGGATTGCCAATATATCTCTCGATAGGTATATATATGTACAAAAACTACTTGTAACCAAAAAACAAATAAGACTAATTGTTCTTATTTATTTTCACGTACTAGACAAAACATTTTCAACTGAAGATTTCATATACCTTAGTTGTCCAACTTATCCTTCATTTCCTAGTAATAGAAATAATATCATTCCGAAATCGACTAAACTAATCAACTATATATATAGAACTCAAATATAGTATCATTTCCCAATCAAAAAATAACTTGCTTGTATTTTGTGCCCCTTGTTTAATCTAGTTATTCTTAGTTCAAAATGTATTTAACCGTTGAATTAATTTCTTGCTATAAAGTAACCAACTATACCCTGTCTCTCTATTATGTATTCTGACTACATTTAAATGAAATAAGAATATAATCAATCCTGTACAGTCCAACTCTTAACAATTGGTTCACGATTCCAGTTGTGCTTTGAACAAACTTATGGGGAATTCATACCTTAGTAAATTTCGTACTAGTCATCAATTAACTGATAACGCTTGAAAACAATTCTAATTGTTTAGTAACTTTTCAAAATGAATAAGTTCTTGAGGAAAAGAATTCAATGGATTTATAAACTCTGAGTAAAACTACATGTTATTTACCATTATCTAAAGCGTTGTTGTAAATTGTCTTCTCGGTAAAGTCACTCAGCTGTTGGTCATGTGAGAAATAGCAATACGCATTATAATTGTTAGTTAATTAAACTAGTATCACGTATATATGAGTTAGCATCCTATTAGGGTCTGTAGTTTAAGTGTTCACGCACGAGACCGAAGATCTTGGGTTCAATTCCGGCCTGCGGGGTCGTGGATATGCACTACTGAGGAGTCCCATATTAGGAAGTAACAATCGTCCAGTGCTTTCAGGTTTTTTAATGGTGGTCTAACTCAAATTGATTTAGGATTTCAATAAAAAACCGTTTGTTCTGGAGCAATATTACCTTTTTGTCAAGAGAAAAATACCAATTACCTGATCGACCGTCTCAATCCAAGACAAAGAATTTATCTTAGCTATTTTTGTTACTTCTTGATGTTACAATTGGTTTCTTTATAATATATCTTAGTCATCCACCTGTCAACCAAATAAAGTCGAGATGTGTTCGTAAAAAGAAAGTAATAACCTTACATCTGGCAAAAGCTCATTAATATAACGGGCAGATATGTTGTACAACTACACTGATCATTTAATAACTTTCAACTTTGATTATTTTATTTGAAATAACTGTTCTTTCTAATTTGATTAAATATGGTTCCAAGATGTGATTTGTTCGATGGGCTGTCGATGATTATATCTATCGTATATATATACTTGACTTATTATATATCCAGCTACTTCGGTTTAGTATATCTATTCATCAATAGCTCTATAGTAAAAAAATTAGATAAATGATCAGTGTGATTTTAACAACCGTTTTTAGTGACCGTATTTCACTTCACTTGTAATAAATTTCCTAATTTTTTTTTAAAAAATTTGATTTTCTCAGAATTATGTGCGATGTCGCAGTCAGTCTACAGTTACTACCTGTCTTCCAGTTTCCTTCATTACCTCTACACTTTCCACCTTGCCCATTGGTTAACATATCTTCCAATGACTGGTCTCATGATAAGGTAAACTATCCGTACATTTCGTTTTTTATTACACTTGTAGTATATGTATAGCAGATGTGTATAGACCAAAATGAATTTTTATTGTAGTGATAGCATTGTTAATGAATCTCTTAATAGGTTCTTTTAGAAACATTTAAGGAAAATATGTGTAACTATTGTGAGTGCAAACGTTTATTTCATTGATATTACTGTGACGAATATGGATTGGTTTATAGTGTAGATTATCTATCTAATTATTTCAGTGATAATTCTAAGAGTTGTTCTTGGCATGCTTTCAAATCACATATTTATCGACTGATTATATTTACAATGGAAAAATTAATCATGCAAAACTTTCAGTGATTGAGATAACAAATCGGAATAACTTGTGTAGAAAGTCGCTTATGTTAACACATAGAGTAACAGAATTAGAAACTTTTTTGTTTGTAATTAATCTACTCTACTGCATGAACCAGTCATTTAACATTTCTATCAATGTGACTTTCAATTACTTTCAAGATTAGATTTGTACGCTTTACTGATGCGTGTCAACTAACATAAAATGTAGGACTCAGAACTCCTTGTTGATTATATCGAAATATATCAGACATACCTCTCTTGTGATGTCAAGTGACCACCATTCAAGTTGGTAAATAGAATTTGATCAATGTAAGGGATTAAACTAACAGGGAATCGGTTAATTCTCAATGATCAATTAATACATATGTTGTATGTGTTTTACTTGCCATTTAACAGTTAAACAGCTAAATTAAAAAACAATCATCACTTGATAATTTATATCTTATCCATGCCTTATGGTTGATTTCCTTCTCTTATTTTCGTCAATCATTTCAGTTAATTTTACCGAATACAATCCCAACTGTTATTCACTTAATTTTCTTTGGATCAGAAAGTCAAGAATTAGAATCAGTTGATTCACTTATATCTAATGTGGTTATTTCTTCAATTGATGATGATGGGGGAACTACAGAGAAATTACAATTAGTTCAATATGTGAATCCTCCTGTACAGATGGATTACCCAGATTAGTAAGCTCTATCAAAATTCTTTCTGATCATAATTCTCCTGGATACAAATACAAGAACCAGGATATAATAAATCTTATTAATATCTTTTCTTCTTACCTCCGTATATATATATATATATATATATATATATATATATATATATATATATATATATATAGTTGCAGCCAGAACAACTGGTGAAGCCTATTGGAGAGACCTAGTGGTCCTTCTAGAACGGACTCCATTTTTTCGAGGCTCACAAACCTACCGCATGAATGCGATTTAGTGGGGATCGCAGCCCCACAGGTCTTTGCATGCATAATGGTATCGCACCAAAAGAACGAGTAAAGAAGTTTGCGAATTTACTTGCCCTGGATATGTGTAGTCTACTTGCATACTGATTAACACACGAACTTTGATACGAGTACCACTTGACATACATATACCCTGTGAGCAAATATACGTCACATGCACACCGGTAACAGATTTTACCCCATGCATCCCATAGCATACATATAGGTATATTCACCCACCTGGAGGATAGATATTCACCAAATCAAAGAAAACGTATTTGCTACCCCAGACTGACTCGTACACATATAAATATCAATCACACCATGACTACCGCCCCATTATTTTCTGATACATACATAAACATTAGCACTCTCTCAGGGGAGGTTGTTGGTCGTCCCGCCGTAGTATTTCTTACCACCCCTTTTTATTGTGTCTTCGACCTGATGGATAGGCCGCTGATTTTATTAGATGTAGGGCAGACATTTTTGCAGCTCGACGTTTCCTTTGTATGACACCGCATGCGTACCCTTTACATGTACCTATATACTTGAACTACATAGGTCCGATAACTTCTGCAATTCTCATACATAAGCACACACATCAGGTAGCTCAAGCGGTAAATTAAACCCCGAGTTTAGAACCCAGGTTGATCAGATACAACAGAGTGGGTGGTCGGTCCGACCTCTGTGACCTCCTAAGTCGTCTAGTAGGGTTGCCCCACGATCCAGCAGCTCCACGAGGCCCTAAGTCGGATTTTACTGCCATATATATATATATATATATATATATATATCACAGTTTTAGCCGATAAGTAGCTGTATTGAACAGTCTAACTTCTAGGGCTGGTTACCGGAGCCTTAAAAAACAAACGTCATAGGATCTTAGCCATTCTAATGAATTCATTTATGTTTACCCATTTTTACTAAATTATATCACTTTATTTTATGCACCCCCTACGGAAAATGTTCCAAACAATGTTTAAATCAAAACGTTTCGTTTCACTGATAAATGAAGCTTATTTTGATTATTTTTCTATCTTGCTCTTTTTTCAGCGATAAAAGATCTTCCAATCGTCCTATGCATTCGCGGCCTTATTTTTTAATTACACCAGCTAACTTTGGTCATTCTTCTGGTAGTCTTGCGGTTCATGTTACAGTTCATCCAAGTTTACCTAACAGATATGTTCCATTTTTACATGGTATTCAGAGCCTAAAGTCTATTTTAAATATATATTTGAGTCCAGTGATAAACGCGGTTCCTAGTCAATTAATTAAGTTATTTTATCATCCAGAGGTAATTTCCAATTATTTTTTTCTTTGTGATTCCTCTTCCGATAAAGTAAAATATTAACACGTTTTCAACTTATTTGTAATTTAGTTTACTAAATTATATGAATTTTTCAGCTATGCGATTCAATACTTTTATTTCATATTTGCATGCATATGAATATTGTTTTTTTCTTTGCAGGCTTCATCTACTGTGGATATTCATGGTGGATCTGGTTATTACTACCTGGACAATTCAGACAATCTAACAGATCGACATCACTGTCCAATTCGTTTATCTGAGAAATTAAATAAACCATTTATATCAACCAATACTATACTGTATATCATGCCGAGACGGACTTACGAAATACAACCAAAACATGTTGGTCGTGTAACAATTCAAGCAATTGACTTATGCTTTCCATCAACAAAATTAAACCCATCAAATGAATATAACCTTAATCCATCACAAGCTGAATTTAATGTAGATGTAATTGGTCTTAGTGTATTAAATCTTCGAGTTCATAATCAAATACAACTTGGTGATGAGGTTGGTCTAATTCTGTTTTGTTTGTTTATTATTTATTAGTAATTTTATAAAATTTAATTAAAATGTATAAACCTGCTTCGGTTTAGGCACCCCGGGTAGTATCCCAGCCCTTACACAAATCGATTGATTTATTTAGCGCATATCTCTTTGGTGCCTTCTTGTACCAATGTTTATGTGTTTAAATAAATAATAAACTAAATTTAATAATATCTTCTAAAGTATCCACTATTCATTGAAATACTAAAAGAAATAACTATTTCTAAATTGTGACTGATTTTTTATTCTAGTCAATTTTTGTTATCGTTGTTGTTGTTGCTGTCAATTATTTCATAGGACTAATTATATTAGGTTATCAGGTATATGAAATATTAGTTAAAAACAAACATATCTGTATAAGTGTTATATTATGTTTAAAGTTTCAGAACGTTTTAAATAAATAAATGACAGAAATTATATAAACAAGAATTTACATAAATGTATTGTTATTTTCTTCAATCTAGTCTACATTAATTATGCATATCATATTAGAATAGAATTTAACACAAATGTAAGTATCAGTTCTAGTTTTGAATGTAGATTGTTCGGCTAAATTTCATAAATTACAGTTTTATATTTTACATCCTAAAATTGTTTATATTACCCTACTATTTAATAGATTGATAGACTTTTATTAACTTATTTCAATACCTTATCTGATATAACCTCCCCCAAATACCCTGATACGACCGAGGGTGGTGAGAGTTCGCTCTCCTTCTCAAAATACTCTCACATAACCACGCGTATACAGCTACTACCAGGGAAGTCCTACTCACTGCCTTCTCGCGGAGAGGTGTTGTTTACGAAATTGAGAGGACGCAAAGCGAATGTCTGGAGTTTTAACAGGGTTAGTGGAGTTAGGGTCCACCTAGGGGAGTTTGAAGACAATGATTCCAAACCAATGGTGTACATGGCCTCCATGATCCTGAAGAAACAAACGGTATATAAACCAATTGTTGGTCACTGGCTACCATAGAACTGACACTGCTCCACTGCCTCCGGGTGTGGCCCTCTAAGGAACCCCCTGTTTCGGCCTGGGCACCCGCACAGTATCATAGCCCACACAAATCAAGTGACTTGTGTGGTGCATGTGCATTCGGTGTCCTTTTGTACCAATATTTATGTGTTCAAATAAAATAAAATAAATAAACATGATATAATCTATAAAATCTATGATATTCCTGATTAATGGATAGTAAAAACGTTCAATTAGATTGCTTGTATAATTATCTTACACTATTCAACTATGTGTTTAAATCTATTTGATACATATATGCGATAACCTATGATTCTTAACTTCGACTTCAATAACAGTGAATAAGACGTCTTCCTATACTCTTTCTCCCTGTTCCCTAATCAGCTATAAAATCCAACCTTTGTTTAGATTTATTTCACCAACAATAATGAAGATTACCTAGGCAAAAAATGAAACATTTATTTAATATAAATTACAAAGCAGATGATTCTTACAATTTATTGTGGTGATTCGCCATCTCCAACACTACTGAACTCGATTCGGTCTGTGCAACTAGCCTTCACAAAGCAGATTCATTCGCTTACGTACAATTTCATCATTATATTAATTATTTTTAATGAATAAACCGATATTAACTCGAACAGTGATCAACAGTTAAATTATGTCTTAAAAATTAATTTATTAACAAATGATCAATGTCTTATTATTGTTTTCCTAATCTAGGTTACTGCTTTTATAGAGGCCATAGGTACAGATGGAATCACATTACCATCAAAGTTTGCACGTTTATTGAAGTTGTCAATCATCAGTGACCATATCACTCATTCCACATCTACTGGTCATAAAGAGTCATCACATGATTCAAAAGAATACTTAGCATACCGGAAACTAACGTTCCTTCAGATTCATTTTGGACTTGTAATTCATCAAATGCTGAAGAACCTTGTTCTGGTCAATTTACAGTTCGAGGTATTGCTCTTGGTACTTCTAGACTAATGGTAACTTCGATAGTACCCGGTTTATTGCAAAGTAAACCGATTACTGTTCAAAGTAACGTTGTTGAGATTCAGGTAAGCTCAAAAGAATGTCATACTTTTTTGAAGTTCGCTTTAAAAACCAAACATTCATTATGTTCTCTGTTTCTTTTTTCATCTTAGGTGTTTGCACCCTTACGTTTGACTCCATGTAACTTCAATCTTCTTCTAGGAGCGGAATACGAACTTCATGCAGTGGGTGGTCCCAGTCAAGCTTCATTGGAATTTATTCCTGAGTCTATCTCAAGTCGTATAACGATCGTTAAGACAAACCCTTCCAGTGTCTTAATACGTGCATCTGAATCCTTAGGTTTGGCGAATATTCGTGCTCGTGCAGTAGGTATGACAGGGAATAGACCTTCTTCAAGTTTAGATGAAAAGCATGAGGATTATGTCATCTATTCAGAGGTATGTTATACTTTGAATTTGTAAAATTATTCATAAAGTTATAAATTACTAAGCCTCTAATTGAACAACATAAAAATTTCTTTTCCAGACAGTTTGCAACATTCATATTGTGGCGTTGTCTGGTGTGCGAATTAGATGCCCACTTGCTAACTTGGATGAAATTACTTCTCAAATCTCTGATTCTTCTTATGTTCATTTCCCAGAATTAACTAATTCAGATAGGTCTGATCAACATTTTCTCCTTGCATGCCCTCCCGGACGCTCTGGCGATTGTGGCTCAACACCGTTATGGGTTGAAGGTACACCATACAGTCCTTATTATTCTAACGACCAGTCAAGATCGAATATTGTTTCTCCTTTGGGAATGGCTGCTGTCAATCCTCCATTACGCTATCGTTGGCATTTGAATCCACCTGAACCTAACTCTATTGTTCGTTTAGAGTATTGGCTTGATCGATTCGGTGTTAATGTGGATGAAGTAAGCATTATATCGCAACATGAAATAATTGATATACTGTTATTCTTTTAATGCAAAAAAATACATGTAATTACGTCATCTTAGTATGAATCTCGATGATGGATGCCTTAACAAGCCATAAATTTTTATAGTTTCTCATTTTATTAATTGATACGAATTACCGTTGATAGATTCCGATTCTTTGCATATCTTACGAAATATGTTATATTTGATAAAGTGAATGTTTAATAATAAAAAAAGCAATTGCTATGCATATTAGTCATTAATGGTATGAACTTTTTTTCCATTATTGAAAAACGCATAAGAGTGAAGTCGCTATGTTATTATTATTTATTTATTTGAACATATAAATATTGGTACCACACAAGTCACTTGATTTGTGTGTGGGCTATGATACTGCCCGGGCACTCAGACCGAAGCAGGTGGTTTTCTTATGGGAGCCACACCCGGAGTCTTTGACCTAAAGTTCTGATCCACAAGACAAGGGAGCAACATCAAGAGATGCAGTCCCATGGTAGACATTCACCAGCGATGGGTTCATACACTATTTATTCCTTCAGGATCCTGAAACCCTGAAGAAACACCTGTTAATTTCAGTAAAACTATAGTGTTTTTGTTATAAATTTTGCCCTGTTAATTATCACGTGACAAAATCGCCAGTCCGCGTACCGACTTATATGACCTTGTTCTTGTGATAAACCAATGACTCGTCAAGACAGCACTAGTAGCTTTGTGTCAACTCTAAATCGTTATTGGTGTTTCTCGCCTAAAAATGCCTGTTTGAGTCCAGAACACAAATCTCAGCTTCCACTGTATGAACCATGTATTTCACAGCTTATATTAAGGCATCACACCATAAAATAAAAATTATACAGGATCAAGCTAAAAAGCGGCTGTGAACGTGAGAGACTGTAACTCATAAATTGGGTATAACTTGAGGACAGTAAATCTCACAATAATAGCCAATAAGCAAATTGAAAGCTTATGATAAATGAAGTATAAATATATATAATTTAGTTACTTAACTGTTATACGATAAGAATATATAATAACAGTCCATAAATAGTTCCCGCGAGTTACCCATAATTTAATCTCCTTCGGATACAACAGTTTTCATTTACATCTTATTATAAAGACCATTTGTTTTTAAACAGAAAATAAAATTAATATTGGAAAGTATGGACAAACTGTTTCGACGACAGTTTTTGTCAATTAGTACTTTCTCTAAGCTTATATAACAATTCGCCTGGTATTGTTTACTTGAATCTTCCCATTGATGTTTAGGGCCATTTGTACTGATCAATTGCACTCCTAAACATCAATAGGAAGATTCAACAATACCAAGTGAATTTAAACTTCACCCCATTGCACAAGCATATGGTTATCAGAACTCAGTAACTAAGTGGATAACGCGATGGCATTTGAAGCGAACGGTGCTGGGTTCGAATTCTGGGGTGAACATCAACTCTAGGATGCAGGTACATCCAGATGACGAGTCCTAAGTAGACCGAAACGCGCGTCCTGGATTCCACTGTTAGTCACCATCCATCATTGCTTATAATATAACATTGCTACTGAGATACTTAATACAGATTTATATATGGTAGTGTCCATGATTTGTATCGAATTTATATGAAATTGAACTTTTTCCAAAAATACAACAACTGACACAGAAACAATGTCAATTGTTTAGGACAGAGTTTAAAAAACTGCATTGTCAACATTTGAAAAGAATTCTTATCAAACCTAAGAACGAACTCCTTACGCAAGTCAATATTTTACACCATTGGGATCAACAAAATGACTTGGAGAAATCATATGCATATTTATATCCATAATATGGAGTACACTGTTAATAGAATTTATTGTGTGAGAGTGAATGCCAACACTATATGTATGAACCTTTTCAGGTGGGAATATGCAAGAAAACTGTAACCTCATGATTAGATGTCTATTGTTTACACTACTAAACTAAAGTTCAAGTATTACTGTTGCATGATAGCTATTTGAGTAACAGTTTTAACCTGCACAGTATAAATTTGTTCTCAAAAAATGTTTGTCTACTATGAACCTGAATAGTCACTTAGTCATTCAGTCCCAATGTAGAACCTGTACGTATGTACATCGGTTCAAGTTACCATTCCTCCATTAGCACAGAGAGATAAAGTTATCAGGCCAAATTTCAAAATAGAAGGGGTAACAGTATCAGTGGTAATAGGAAGATTAGCCATCGAAGATACGACTCCAGAACATAACACAACTTAGTGAAATAATGAAAGGCTGAACGAGGGATTTAGAACCTCAGAATTTGAAAGAAGACGAACAATGAATGCACCTGCCCTATTCTAAACGATTTTAGCCATGTCATTCAAAGTTTCTAACCATTGCTTACGATAATCATGCGGACCCCAACCAGGTAGTCTGTACCTATTAACATGGCTAAGTCCAATTGTCACTGACTTCATAAGCTGATGTCATGTTTTGGTTTGATCGCCCCTAGCTTTACTCCTGCACCGGAAAACATCGTCCGTTGAGGTAGGCGATGGTTGGGCATACGTCCCGACCACCTCGGTTGATGAAGATTTACGACCGCATCCATCTATTTACCACGTTTACCTAGTACTTTATCTCTACCTAAATGACTAGTTCTAAATGCACAATCTCAAGTATACATTTAGTTTTAATGTATTCTGACACTTTAGTTCATAGTAATAAAGTCACTGATCTATAATCATATACATTTTCCACCTTTTCTAATAGGTCTTTTTGTTATTGTCAAATTTATTATCTAAAATCCTTTCTTTTTCAACACTTAGACTCATTTAGCATCTGGAATGGTTCTTGTCGGTCTAAAACCTGGTACTGTAACTGTTCATTTGACTGTTGAACCTGTAGAACCTTATGCAAAACAAATAATTGCTGTATCTACTGACGGTGTGTCGACTGACCGCTTACATGCTCAACTAACAATTGTTGTTTTATCACGGCTTGGACTGAGTTCACCACATCGGGAACCTCAACAAATAATTCTATCACCGAATTCCCAATTAAATTTGATTCCTTGGACTGATTTGTAAGTCTTTTTGTGAAGAAATATTTACGTTTCTCTTTATTATAAAAATATATATTATAACACCTCAATAACTCTGACTAAATCCACGTTCCATTACATGAACTACTTCCACAGCTCAGAAATTCGAAAGTTAACTGAAAACAATACTAGCAAAAATTAATAGTGGTCAATTATCATATCTAAAGATTGTTTCAATGACTATGTTGACGATTCTTCCTTTAACAATGATAGATATCATCTCACCAGTCATTTGCCTTCAAGTTTAAAACTTTTATTTTTAATGTCTTGCAAACTTGCTCAATTTTTTATCGAACAAATTATGACGTTCACATTATCTTCATCTCAAGTCTTTTGATGTCACAAAGCCTATTACACACAAATGATCTTTTTAATCTTAAAAATTATTTACATTCTTAATATAGCTTATATAGACATAGAGTTCATCGGGGACCGTCTACTGCAACTGTGCACAGACCACAACCTGTTTCTGGCTAGCACTAACTTTCGGCACAGTCATCGCCGATGTGCCACCTGGCGTCCTCCCTCTGCATCCCAAGCCTGGACTCAGATTGATCACATCGCGATCAGCTACCGCTGGCGTGGTTGTGTAAAAGACTGCCGCTCCTTTTGGAGTACCTATCTGGACTCTGACCATGCCTTGGTCTGCGCCAATCTTGCCTTACTTTTCAGTGGCCAACGAAGTGACCGCCACTAAAGGATTGATATTAGCAAGCTGGTTGCAACTTCTGTTGCAAGTAAGTATCGAACCGAGCTAGCCTCTAGGCTAGCTACCACTCCACCGAAAAGTATAGATGAGCATTGGTTGCAATTGCATGACGCCATGAAAATGGCGGGAACAGTCAGTTGTGGGTTTGCGAAACGTCCCGCTTTTAAGCACTGGGTTTCTTCTGGTTCCTTACAACTCATTGAAGCCCGTCGGTCTACTCCGGGTGACCGTGAGTTTGACCATAAACGAAGGATGTTACGTAAGGAAATTGGGCAAAGCTTGCGTAAGGACCGAGAAGCCTGGTGGTCGAAGCGTGCTAATGAGCTGGAAGCAGCAGCTGCATCTGGTAACTACCGGAAGCTCTTCCAGCTCATCCGAGCCACTGGCAGCAAGAAGTCTGGTGTGAGTGAAACAATCTGCGAGGATGATGGGATGCCAATCACTAACATCCATCGACGTCTTGGACGATGGGCAGAATTTTTCGAAGGGCAGTTCAACTGGCCTGCTGCTCCGGCAACATCGGTCAGACTGTCCTGCCCTCCATGGCCGGTGACGACTGATCCACCAAACGAGGAGGAAGTCCGCAAGGAACTCCAACTCTTGAAGCGTTACAAATCACCTGGCCCAGATGACTTACCTCCGGCTCTTTTTAAAGATGGTGGTGACTTTTTGACTAAGGAATTGACGACGTTGTTTACAAAGGTTTGGGAACTAGAGAGTGTACCAACGTCATGGAATGAGTCGATAGTTGTCCCTATCTTTAAAAAGGGTTCACGTCGTTCCTGTAACAACTATCGGGGGATAAGTCTACTTCCGATTGCGTCCAAGCTATTGGCTTCCGTCATACTTCGTAGGTTGTTCAAAACCCGAGAAAGATTGACTCGCGAGGAGCAGGCTGGGTTTCGTTCTGGTCGAGGATGTATTGATCATATCTTCACCCTCCGCCAAATGTTAGAACACCGCCATACTTATCAAAGGCCAACAATCGTAGTGTTTCTTGACATCAGGGCTGCCTTCGATTCGTTGGATAGGACTGTTCTCTGGGATTGTCTATTGAAGAAGGGTGTGCCTGAGAAGTTTATTAACATCCTAAAAGCCCTATATAAAAACACCTCAGGCAGAGTGAGGGCATACAACCACCTCTCTCCATTGTTCCATTCGAGCAGTGGGGTTAGGCAGGGTTGCCCAATCTCACCATTCCTCTTCAACTTTGCCATCGATGACATTCTGGAAACAGCTCTGATGAATGTAAGTAATGGTGGTGTGGATCTGTTGCCTGGAGAAAGACTTCTCGACCTTGAGTATGCGGACGATATTGTCTTACTGTGCGATAATGCCCAAGGCATGCAATCCGCACTTAATCAGTTGGCAATCAGTGTCCGTAGGTATGGTATGTGCTTTGCACCTTCGAAGTGCAAAGTACTTCTACAAGACTGGCAGGATTCCAATCCTGTACTCACCCTGGATGGTGAGCAGATAGACGTAGTCGAGAAGTTCGTGTATCTGGGTAGCTGCATAAGTGCTGGTGGGGGTGTGAGTGATGAGATCAATGCACGTATAGTGAAAGCCAGAGCGGCTTATGCCAATCTGGGCCACCTTTGGCGCCTTCGTGATGTTAGTCTGGCTGTAAAAGGTCGGATCTACAACGCGTCGGTGAGAGCAGTTTTGCTCTATGCTTGTGAAACCTGGCCTCTCCGAGTTGAGGACGTTAGACGACTCTCTGTGTTCGATCATCGCTGTCTCCGAAGGATTGCTGACATTCAGTGGCAACACCATGTCAGTAATGCAGAGGTTCGGCATCGTGTGTTCGGGCACAGAGATGATAATTCAATTGGTGTCACCATCTTGAAACACCGACTTCGGTGGCTTGGACATGTTCTCCGAATGTCGTCCCAGAGAATTCCACGTCGTGCATTATTTGCCGACTCTGGACCTGGTTGGAAGAAGCGGAGAGGTGGTCAGTGCATGACATGGTGTCGTGGTATGAAAGAAAGCTGCAAAGGACTGGCTTGTGTTGGTCCTTCACGACTCCCTGGTTGGGGTCGAGAGATGGTGCTACACAGTGGCTAGAGACGTTATCAGATATGGCTCAGAATAGAAGCCAGTGGCGATCCTGCTGTAACCTTCTTTTACTTTCTT